CTTGTCCCGGGGGGTGGGGGAGCGGGGGGTCGGCCTCCGAGCTCGCCCCGGCGCCGGTGGCAAAGGCAGAGCCAGGGCGCACAGCCCGGGGCGCAGGTGGGGGCGAGAGCGCTTCAGGAGAGCCGCGGGAGCAAGGGCAACGCGCCCCGCCGTTGCCCCACTGCACCCCACGCCTTAGGCTCCCCCTGCATCGTCCCCTCTACTCCCTGCTTCCAGCGCAACCGCCACGGCAGCACCTCTCCCACAGACGGAGCACCTTTAGCCTTGTCTGTACCTATGACACAGCGGTGTCACTTTGCTCAGTTATACCAATGAACCCAGTGAACGTGGCAGGTAAAAACAGTTAGAAATGCTCAAATACTGACTGCTAACACCTAGAAATGCTGGTAGATTAGAAGGGCAGGTGAAAACAAACCCAGGCCAGCACTGGAGACGACCCAGTGATTAGGCTTTGAGGATTCACGCAAACTTGTGGGTCACCTTCTGCTCCTCCGCAACCTTTCTTTGCCCAAGCGGTGGAGGATGCCCCGCAATCCCGCTGCAGCGGTTTGAGCTGCTGTCACCCTCAGCCATCTTATCAGCTGCTCTCTGGCTAGCGACTCCCAGCCCCAGAGCAAAGTCAGCCAGAGGAAATGTGGCCCCACACCTCCGCTGTGTGTGGGCAAACTCCGAGGTATGCGCTGAAACCAGGGCCGTGGCAGCTTTCGGGCTGCCTACCAAGGGGAAGCCAACCTCGGAGAAGGGTCTGCCTCGTTAGCTGAGCGGCCGTCCCGCCTCAATCTGTCCCATGCGAACCAGAGCCCTGAGACTCCAGCTAACGCCCTGGAGCAGCTGAGGGCAGAGGTGGGCACCCATCCCACTCTGCCATCCCAGGGCAGGGGCAGTAACCTGCAGCAGCAGGGCAAAGTGCCCAGGTGAGAACATTTACACTGCAAAAATTAGTTTAACATTTAAATCTGCCAACATTTAAATCTGTCCCTTTCCTCATGCCTCAGCTCTCTGCCTGAGAAATAGCGTGATCCTGCCTCCATGTGAGCATGTAAGATGCTTGGAGGTTGCTGTAGAAAGGGACATAAAACTGCCTAAAATTGAGAAGCGTGGCCTTCCTCCATCTCGCAGGCAGGCATGCCGGTCCTCCCGCGCAGGATCGGGGCCTGAAAGCGCAAAGGAGCGCGACACAGTTCACACCGTGTGCTGCTGTCCCTGCCTATCTGCTAATTT